TCTGTGGCAAAGAGTGTAACACACTGTGCTTGGACAGTTCCACCAGAGCCACAGAGTCAGGAAGAGGTAGTAGTTTTTCAAAGGAGAGGGGAAGGTGTCGCTAACAGAAGAAAGAAACAATAGCAAGAAGATACAAACAGATGTCCACTACATCAGGTGAACATGGCCTTGTCTGCCCCGTGAAGAAACCTCAGACTTGAGAACCACGGGTGCTGACTCCAACTTGAAAGAATACATTCCCCAATACTCCTCTCCAGGGTGGCTGCAAATTTTCTCAGTCGGCAGAGTATTCTAGCTCTGCTAGAAAGAAACTCACTCTATTGCCAAGAAATTGTCAACAAATTGGCAACCATGAGATTAACTGGTCCCATCTACTATTTCTGTCCTGTAGGATGGTGTCAGAGCCAAAACAGAGGTGGCCCATTCAGGGAGCTGCCTAGAGCTGAAAGATGACTAGAAATATAAAGTGACAGAAAAATTACTATTTTCTAGAGCTTCTTTCAGGGCGTACAGAAGTCAGCTCTGCAGACTGCAAGCCCTGGGCGGAGTTACCATTGATAATACTGATGTTGGGAAGCAGAGTATGAAGCTGAAGTTTCCCAAGGGATGTAAATTCTCACCAGACTGGAGAACAACTAGCTTTATATTCCTGCATTAAAAAAAAAATGGATACATACGCACTGCTTTGGCCCATTATGGTTTGGAGCAAGTAAAAGATGGAAAAGACTTTTGTTCATTAGAAAGCAGCACCTATAAAGACAAGGAATGCTTTTCCCTTCCCTGAGGTAGGCATATTCAGGAAAGGTATGTGGATCCAACTCTCTAAAGGCAAAATAGTCTAGTAGCAACGTGCATAGGTCCTGCAGCCAGAATGCCAGGGTTCACGTTCTTGGCTTTTCCACTTAAGTTGCGTGGCAGTGTAATGTGTATGTACTTCTCCTCTCTGTGCCTCATGGGGACAATAATAGTTACCGATCTCACAGGATGAAATGACTTCATAAATACAAGGCGCTTAGAACAGTGTCACATAGTGAACACTCCATGCAAGCTTGCTGTTTTTATACAGTTTGCTCATTATCATTCTATAGACGGCTTGTTAGGGCTCAGGGCAGGCAACCCAAAATCTGCCTCAATAGCATATTGACTATTTTGAATTAAAGTTATTTAAGAAATGGCCATTATAGAGGAATTCTTTGACCCTCCCGTCTCCCTGGAAGCTGGAAGTAAATCTCCCATGTGATAGGTGCCCTCCCTGTACTAGGAGGTAAAAAGACATCTTACAACCAGAGACTGGGAATTCAGGCCAAGAAACCTCTATATAAACAAACCTTGTTACTTCTTTACTAATTTGCTACCGAAGCCCAAACTTTGCTTAAATTCCTTAAAAATTAAACACTCAAACCTAAGTTTCTTTCTTCTGTCAATTCCTCTCAACTTAATTGTCTGAAATATAAAAGCTAACTGCTTTGACAACTTACATGTCCCATTGCTAAGAGACCTCCATGTGCAAGATTTTAAGTTGTTTCTTTTTCTCTGTTAATCTGTCTTGTGTCAATTTTATTACTAGTCTGATCACGAAAACTCAAGAGGGGTTGAGGGGGAAATTACCCCCTCCCTGACAGGCTTCATCCTAATTTTGGTTAGTAAAAAGCCCTCCTCCAGGTGCTTTGCTGACTCCTGGACAATAATCTCGGTTTCAAGTACACACTGAAGTGTCCCATATTTATAAAATGTTTTCAAGAATATTTCACATAAAAATATTTTATTCATTTTTGGCGGTTAATTTTTATTTTTATTTTAGTGAAACACAATTAACAGTGAATGATTTCTTCTTTGGGGGCTAAATGGGAGGAAATTAGGTGTAACTTAAAACATCCAAAATTTAAAATATTACCTAAGTAAACTACACCTAAGCCACCTTGATTGAAATAGTGGTTCAACTAATTTATAAATGTTAATTTGTTGTTATTATGATTAACATGTGGCACTGTCTGCCACAAGTAAAACAGCAGTATATACCTGAAACCAACACAATATTGTAAATCAACAATGCAGCAATAAAAAAATAAATTAAAGAAAAATCAGCTAGTCCCACTGTATTTAACCTTAATTGGGTTTTGGACCACTTTGAAAATCTAATGAAATCTGTGGAACTACTTTCCCATTAAAAAAAGCATATATTTACAAAAACTCAGATTTTTGTACACATTAGAGGATTGGTAGATTACCATTAAGTATCATCCATGAACTCCTTTGGGGTCACATGATCTAGCCTGCATCTTCCATTTCATAAATGTTGAGAATCATTGCCAAGAACAGGGACTGGAAAATTATGGCCAAATCCAGCTCCTTTCTAAACTATTTACTGCCTAGTCCTTATAGAAAAAACTTGCCAATCCCTGGCCTAGAATAGTTAGAAAACATCTCCCAAATGACTCAGTCAATTATTAGAAAACAGAGGACTAAAATTCATACCACTTCATTTCTCTTCCACTGGTCTCTCAGTACTCCTATGACCAATTAAAATATTGACTGATTTAACCCCAACAAAAAAGAAAACAAGGGGTAAAAAAAAAGCAGTAAAATTATTCACCAAGTCCTCTATGATTTACCAGGCTTTCTGTCTGTTAGAAAGAAACCAGCTTAAGGGGGGAGGGTATCTCAGGGGTTAGAGAGCATGCTCAGCATGCACGAGGCCTGGGTTCAACCTCCAGTATCTCCATTAGACAAATAAACCTAATTATCCCCCCACAAAAGGAATATTCATTCCTCAAGCCTAGAAATAAAGAAGTTACAAAAAAAGAAAGGCAATCAGCTTCAAATGGCAGAATACCTGACAACGGAGCTGTAATAAGAAAACCTTTTATTTCACATAATCCTCTGAAAATGGGTGGGCTCTGGTCTGGCTCAAAGGCCAATACGTCCTCAAAAATCCAGGTCCCTCCCTTCCCCCTTCCTCTGTGTCATTCTTAGTGAACTGGCTTTTCGTGATCACAAGTTGATTATCACAGCATTGGACACAAAGTCTTCATTCTATAATGTACTAAGCAGGAAGGAAAGGAATGTTTAGGAAAAGACCCTTCCTTGCATAAACTCACTTCTCTCTTAGTGAATGAAGAAAACCTTTCCAGAACTCGCCGATAGACTTTCTCTTAACAGCCTATTGGCCAGAGTTGGGTCTCATGTCCATACCTAAACTAACTGGCAAAGAAAAAAGGAGGTGAAGTGCCTGAGTTAGAGTAGTCATAATTTATCCCCCCTGGGGTTGAGGTGGGACCTACCTTCCCAGGGGATATCGCAACCGAACATAACTGAGAGGGCCTCTGTCAGTGAGAAGCAGGGAGGCAGTGAGAAGTTTGGGAGGCAAGCCAGTTTCTCTCCCCCTAAGCACTGCCATTTTCGGCTAAGTCCTTCCACTTTACGCTCAAGTCACACTTAGCTTCTTGCAGTTCCCAGAAACAGTTGACAGCTTCCAGATTCTGCTTACATTGCTCTGTATGCCTAGAATGTTCTTCTTCACCCTTCCTCCTTGTTCTTCATGGCTGCTCCCTTTTGTAGAAAAGTTTGCCAATAACTTGGCCTCTCAGTTCCATGATTTCCTCTCTTCCAATAATCTAATTCACCACCCACCTCAGCCACTCACTTCATGGCCAGATCCAAGATTCGCCATTAACTGCATCTCTTCCACAATCTCATCAATTTCCTGTAGCTTCAGTGAAAGGGCAGGTTAATGTGCCTGGCTTACAAAGCAGTTCCTGGAGTCTAACCTGAATTCACCCATAACTGTTCAGGAAACAAATTCTCCAACCCCACTGCCTGGTTCTGTGAACCAAAAGGACAGAAACAAGAACGTCTTTTCCCAGCATTCACAACTGCTGGAGTTCTTTCTGCTCCCAGCCCTATCTTAATCTCAGTACCTTTGGGGAACAGAATTCCAAAGATACAATGTACCTTTCTTTTCCTTATCTTGTCTGTGAACTGTTGTTTCTGAATTACTATAGAAAAATGAGAGAGAAGGATATTTTGCTATTTGGGGTATCTGTTCCCCTATGGTAGAGAGAGAACTGTCCAAATTTCTGACATGGTCTATAGATCTCTGAGTCAGAGGCCAGTAGAAAAAGTAGTTTTACATCTTTCTTTCTTTTTTTTTTTAAGAGATTTTCTATCACAAGGTAAAGCCTGAGCACGCTAAGGCAGCTTTTCTCAATTCAGCCTGCTCTGTCTTGTAATCAACAGAAATTCTGTATACATTTTGGAACTTGGTTCTTTACCAGTTTTCAGCATTATGTGTTTTTTTTCGGGGGGGGGTGTCTTTCAGTGAGAAGGTATGCGTTATCACATTAGGGGTTACTAGCCAGAGACCATTTAAAAACTAAAACTATTTAATTTTTTTTTCTTTTCAACAAGGTAAAATTTCAGTATAAATAGTTTCAAACATCTCACAAAAAGCTAGTTCATTATTTTATTTTATTTTATTTTATTTTATTTTATTTATTTATTTTAGTCCATTTTAGAATATTGTAAAAAGCATTCTCTACCTGCCCTCCTCCTGCCCCATTTGGGGAAATCATCCTAGGAACTTGTCTGGAGAACCTGGGAATTTCTGAAGACTGCACTAACCATTCTGTCTCCGGACTGCTGTTCTAATCTGCAGATCCTGCAACATTTCCTGCCTACAGCCAGCCCTGTTTGCTTCAGGCTGCCCCCAATGACCCCAACTGGCAAGAGCCAATTCCTTAATATCCTGTTGCTACTGTTGGTCCAGAATTCAGTGGGTTTTGTATACTGACAGGCTTCTTGGTTTGTCTGAAGTCAGGGGGAGATTCTGTCAGCACCCAAGGACCTCTCTGTCCTAAACAGGTTTTTCTTCAATTTGCAGGGCTTGTTCCTATACTTGTGCTACTAAATGTATAATGGTTTATATAGTTATACCGCCCCTTAGATTTTTTTCTAGTTGTTGAATATATTGTGTGGTGTTTAATACATTGAACCCTTAAAGATGTCTGTCCATTTATCTTTATTTCAAAACTCTGAACATAGGGCCAGTACATACTTCGAGTTTCGTGTTTGATAGTGAAATTTAAATGTGAATAAAATAGAATATCCCCAAAGAATAAAATAAAAATACAAATAAAGCATTCTTCCTATTTACTTCTGTATAAAAAAAGTAAATACATTAGATGGGTGGTTGACTTTGAACTGCTTCACACATTATGCAAAAAAGGAACCGTGAGAAATGAAGAACAAAAATAAAAATATCCCTGGATAAAATCCATGTGTACAGAGGATGATTCAGGATGTTATAAATAACTCATATGAGGTAAAGCAAAGATGCAGTATTTATATATCATTCTCTGAAGAAAGCGCGTATTTTATTAATCTTCAAGTTCCTCAGCAGATTAATAATAAAAGCTTAGTATGTATTACCAACAAGTCTGACTGCTGGGCCCAAAGGAAACTCAAATTATTTTAAGGTGAGTTTGCTTCCTTTTCATCTGATTCATCATCCATAACCTGAAACAAACAAACAAACAAACAAACAAACAAACAAAACCAAAGAGAACTTAATAATTGAGAAAAGGATCAGAAATTGCTATTTTTCTGATTTTAATATTACTTGCTTACCTGAAAGACACTACTCTATAACAATGCATGTCAATCTAATAAGAATAAATCTATCAACAGCCCCCAAAGCACAAAGTTTGCATCATAACCTGATATTCCAAGAACATAAAAGCAAATTGAATATTAGCAAATTAATTAAGCATTGGTCTCTTTTTCTTGTCCCAGAAGAGGCTTCCAATAGCAGTTGCAGTTGGACAGAGAATATCATAATGATTAACTCGTATTCCTAGCCGGATGACTAAGATAATCAACTTTTTTTGCTTTTTTTTCCAAAAGCATCTTATTTCCTTAAATATATTCTAGGGAGCCATACCAAGCTGTTATTGTAAAAATATATGTTAGAAAAAAATGAATCCCTTAAAAAGGTAAAGAAACAAATTATTATACTAGAAACTAATTATTTTGGTCTTACTCAGATAAAAGTTCATTTTAAACTTTAGAAAAATATGAAAATTTTCATTTCTAATAGGAAAAATACTAATGAATATTTGAAGAAAAAAAATGGAAAGATTAATACCTTTTCATGAGTTAATATATTACTCAGATAATAAAGACTTTTAGAAAGGAAAAGAGTTAAATCGAAGACTTTTTTTCTCTTCACCACACCTACTATAATTAAATGCCAATTCAGGTTTATAATCTGGCTGCCAATTCATCACCTCACCCTGGACAAATGAATGAAAATATTCCTTTGTCAATCCACCAAAGTGTTAACTAATGTAATTTTTTAAAAAGGCATTTAGAGGATAATGGGACAAAAATTAATTTTAAAACAACCTAAATGAATCTGGTTCTGATCTGAGGCACTCAGTTGAAAAACAATTCTTTCACAGTTTCTTTCGGATTGAGTAAAAATGGACATTTACTTTCAAGGAATTGACATTTTTATATCTAATCTCAGCAATATCCAATCCAAAGAATTTTGTCAATCAATTTCTATTTTGGGCAAAATATTCCTAAAGAAGAACACAAATACCTAGGTATGATTAGAATTCTCTCATAAACAAAAAGCTGAAACAGAAATACAGAAGCTTTGCACGAAAAAAGAGCTTAATTCCAAGTGAAAGATTGATAAGAACTTCAAAAAGGAGATGGCATGTATTGTACCAAAAAGATTTTAATGTACTGAGGGATGAGTGAGTCTCAAAGGAGCTGAGCAGAGATGCTCTCTCTTTAAAGGTACAGAATTACCAGAACAGTTTGTTCAAATTTCTAATTTCCATACACTCTTTCCTTCCTTGATAATTTCTAAGGCCATGCCCCTTGGTTGAGTTTTCTGCAGTGAGAGCCGCTATTACTGCTGAGAATGTGTTGTGCTATACTCCTTAGGAATGTTGGGGCAGAAAATATGTTGACATCAAGCTATAGCTAAAGCTCTACACCTTTACTCAGTAATCTGTTTTATTGTACAGCAAAGTATGATTTCTTGATGAGCTTCTTGCCTGCATGTCTAAGAACAAGATGTGGATAAATATGAAGCAGCAGAGCTCTTCCACTAAAGACTTCTAAATCTCATCTATAAAATTCCATGATGTTTTGAATCCCCCTTTCATAATTTTTCTACAATCAGAACAGTGGTATGCCCTCTGACTCTCATTTTCCCATGTGCAATGGAAATGACTTACTTAATACACTGTGTTGTTAGAAGATAAATGAAGTGATACCTGTAAAAATGCTGGGCACATAGTAGGTAATTCATAACACTACAGTTAATTCTTATATAAGGAGTCTTCAAGTCTGATAACAATGGTAATACAACGATATGTCCCTTGAAGAAAATGTCAGGTCATGAATCCCTTGTCTTTCCCAAAATTCATTTTAATTTAAAATCTAAACTGTCATATAATATTGGCATACCTGTTCTACACCTTCTACTTCTGGAATATAAAACTGAAGCATGTTCTGAATTCCATTTTTCAGAGTGATGATTGAACTGGGGCAGCTGGTACAGGAACCTTGGAGTTTCAGCTGTACAATGCCATCCTCAAAGCCTTTATAGATCACGTCTCCTCCGTCTTCCTGCACAGTTGGCCTGTGGCCACGGAATATTTATGACATGTTTAAGAGAACAGAAGCTTTCATTCAAAAAATTTAATACAACTCAGAGCTTGGATTTTATATTATCAAAATTCACAAAGTTAGAGCTACTTTTAGAATAGAAAATAACTGTAGCTAGTCTCATTTGTAATTTTTTTTAACTTTCAGATGAGATGCCAAAATTCATTCATAGAAATATTTGCTCTGCTTATTGCATTTCAATCTTGCTTATTAGTAATCTTTTGAAGCATTTAAGATTTCAAATTTCCTAATAATTATACTGGTTACTGAAGATATACTCATTCATCCTTTTAAGTGAACAAAGGAAGACTGAGACATACTGGTGTTTGTTTCCAGGTAAACTTTTCATTGAAATGTAATATACAGAAAGATGCATAAATCATGTAGGATCAATTCAAGGAATTTTCACAGAGTGAACATACATTTGTTCTAGGCCAAGAAACAGAACACTAGGACCCTGTAAGTCCCCTTGTACTTCCTGCTTATCACTCCTCCCAACCAAAAGTAACCATTATCCCAACTGCTATCACCATTGATTAATTCTACCTGGTTTTTTTTTTTCAACGTTTTATAAATACAAATACCATTCAAAAAACATACAGTATTTACTCTTTTGTATCTAGCTTCTTTTGCTCTTTGTGAGATTCATCTACATTGTGGCAGGTGCATTCAGTCTCACTGCTGTGCAGTATTCCACTAAGTGAATATGCCAGAATTTATCCAATCTAAGAACACTGTTAAGACTTTTTTTGCCACATATTTTATGTCTCTTCTACTTTTTCCCTGTGTTTTCCATTCTTGTTTCTGTACTTCAGCTGGATATTTTCTATTGGCCTATATATTCCAGTAGACTAATCTTCTCTCCAACAGTGTTCAGGGTGATGGTCAACTAACCTGATGACCTTATGTTTACCTATTATATATTTTAGTTTCAGAATTACTTTTTCTTTTTGTATGGATTCCAGTTCTCTGATGAAATTCTTCACCTTGTTTTCTATTTTCCCAAACATTCTAGTCAGTTATTTTAAAGCTCATATCTGTTAACTCTCATACCTAGGTTATCTATGGATTTGTTTCATTTTCTCTTGGTCCGGTATCTAGGAATGCCTGGTAATTTTTGACTCAATGATGTATGAAAAACTGAAGTGACCCGGGATTGTATTACATCAGAAAGAATCCATCCTATCTTCTGGCAGTAGGTCAGTCCACTGCGGAATTAGGCCCACTCAGTACTGGACTACAGTTCTGTAAGGCCTGGTCCACCTCTGGTGTGTCTGTTTTCAAGGGTACCATCTTCCAGAGAGCACAACTGGGAGCCTGGATATTCCTTGGCCCTCTTTGACAGGTCCTAAACTCTAATTTTTGTCACCCCCAGCACCATAAAACTGCCAGCAAAACTCTGTTCAGCCTTTTAATTGCCTTTTGTTTGACTTCTTTGTCTCTTCCCCTCCACAGCTAAGAATAAGCAAATGGGGAGAACCTCTGAGTGTTTAGACATTTTTTTCTTAACTTTTCTCTGGGATCATGACCCTTCAAGTCCAAGCTTCATTGATAACCCAGAATTGTAATTTTTCTTCCCATCTCAATAGCTTGCTGAAAGCTACACGGTTTCTGATTCTTAAGTGGCTGCCCTCTGCCCAGCTTCTCATAGTCCAGCCTCACACCAAGAATCAGCAAATGCCCCAAGGGAAGCTTCCATGGGCTTCCCTTCTCTACAGGATCTTATTTGCTTTGGCGGCCATCTAACACCTGCAAACAAGACAAAATTTAAAGAAAAAGGTTTTCTGTATTTTACCTAGCTTTTCCGGGAGTTCTCACAGGACCACTGGTCTGCTATAAGCAAAAGTGGAAGCTTACAGTACTCTACTTGTTTAAATTTATTCTTTTGGGGCAGCAGCCTGAAAACAGGTATGCCTTCTCTCCTCATAATTCTCCTAAACACTGTTAAGTCATTATTTTTCTTTCTAAGAAATTTGGTATTGTAACAATACCAAGCACAAATGGTGACCATGAAAGATGAATTACTGATGATACTTAGACAGAGTGTTATTTTATTTTATTCATTTTATTTTATTTATTTTATTTTATTTTATTTTTAGGGGGGAGGAAATTAGGTTTATCCATTTATTTTAATGGAGGTACTGGGGATGAACCCAGGACCTCATGCATACTAAGCAAGCAGGCACTCTACCACTGAGCTATGCCCTCCCCCAAGAGTGTTTTAAACTTTTGAGTGAATATAGAAAATGTACAGGCTCTAAATTTAATTGTCATGGTTATCTATTTTGGTTTACGTAAACCTATGCTTATTTTGGAACTCTACTACAACCTCACAGACAACCTAAAGTATATTGCTACAGTGAAAACTGGCTCTGTAGTGTATCTGATCCCAGGTAGAAAGATGAGCACGTACCGTATTCTGGTATCTAACAATTCCTTAATCATTGCCACAACTTCGTCATCATCTTCAGATCCTAGAAACAATTACAAATAAAACATATCAATAGTAGAAATTTTATATCCATGCAAATAAAAATATTAAAGCAGGATGATTTTAACTTAATGCCTCATTAAAAAATAAATAAAAGCATATTATACATGACTTGGTATAGTGTTTCAAGTGATTTTGAGGAAATGAAAAGATCATTTGCTTCTCTGAAGAAAAACTAAACAGCACTGATCAACTCATCATTTGGTGATAAATATGAGTATACTGAAATAACATGGTCTACTAATGATGTCAGGGTTTGAATTTTCTGGCCAATAAATTTGTAAACTTTCATCCTTCTCAAGGACTGAAAAGTAGCAGAGAAAAGATATTGCCTGGATTTTGATGGAAACTTTGAGACAAAAAGGCACACCTTCTTTAAGTTATGTTTTCAATTTCTCAATTCAGTGGTTTTCAAAATGACACTCATACTAAATACAGATGTAAGCCTTATGGAAATTCTAAAATGTGCTACAAATCTGAGCAAAAATTTGGCTTTTCATTTGTTTCATTTTTGTATTTTTCTTTTACTTTGTAAGGTTATAGACTGATGTTCACAAACGCCTGTTTTTACAGGTTTTATATTTTCTTTACCTTTGGTAAAACTAAAAACGCAACTAATTCAAATTACACTATAACAAACACTAAAGTTCTGGCAACAACATAAATATCAACATGTTAAATTATATCAATTTGAATCTTTTTTTAACAAAAGAAATAAAATATAATAAAGCTTATATCAGTAAAACCTAAGTTCCATTCCCCAGCATCACTTCCACAGGTTTTCACCCAGCACCATGGGTTTAGTGTATATTCTTCTAGTACATGTTTACATTTACAAGTCTACATTTACACACTGTTCTATACCTTGTTGTTTCTATTTAATGTAACTTAAAGGTCTTTCCATATCAGTATATAAAGAAATGCTTCCATTTTTAAAATAGGTACATAATAAGCTTTGTATGGATTTGTCTTTGGCTAGTTCTTAAATTATTTCTCTTGTTTCCAGTTTGCTGCTATTTCTAACAATCCTGCAGCATACAGGCTTGTGTGAAGTATGTATCAGTGTACTTCTGCAAATATATAAATGAAATAAATGCCTAGTGCCGGGTCTAGAGGCTTGTGTATTTTTAAGTTTTGGCAGATGTGGTCAAATGGCTCTCAAAATGTTCTATCAATTTTACGAATATACCCATCAAAAATACATTTAACTGTTTCATGTATTATTTAAAATGTGCATAAATGGTATATATGTAAGAATATGTAAATAACCCTTCAGTTTTCCTTTATCACTTAATATTTTCTTTTATACCTTTTCACACTGATATCTCCCAACCGAGTTCACTCCTTTTAACTTCTAATGTATTTTAAGACATTTCAGTGAACATGCTTTCACATGTTGTCTTGTGTACATTTGTAAGACTCATTTAGAATGTATATCTAGAAGTGAAACTGTATCATCTAAAGGTAATTACACAAAGGTATGTATACACACACACACATACATACACACAAAACCATATCTTCACGATAACCAGAGACAGGAAAAATTTTACCAACAACAAAGAGTCTCAGCTAATATTTGAGATCCATGTGTAGTTACTCTTCCAAGTGCTTTACACAAAAATAACTTACTAAAACAAGGTACAAAAAGCAGAAACCACAAAGGAAAAGATGAATATATGTAACTCTATTAAAAAGAAAAACTTCTGTCCTTGCTTCAGCAACACAAATACTAAAACTGAAATGATACAGAGATCAGTGTGGTCCCTTCACAAAGATGATACGCAAATTTGTGAAGTGTTCAATATTTTAAAATAAGAAAAAGAAAATTTTCTGAATGGCAAAAGACATCTTAAACATAGTGAAAAGATAAGGCATGGTTAGGGAGAAGTTATTTGCTATGAATATACCTAAGAAAGGATTTATACCCAGAATGTTTTTTAAAAACTTGCTAAAACCAATACAAAAAAGACACATAACTCAGTTTTTTAAAAATAGTAAAAGTTTATGAACAGGAAATTTACTGAAAAGGAAAATACGGGCCAGTCATATGACTAATGGCCGTATGTTTATATGAAAACCTTCAGGCTCAGTGTAATCAAGGAGATGCAATTAAAATAAGGCACCATTTTAGGGGGGAGGTTATAGCTCAGTGGTTGAGTACATGCCTAGCACACACAAGGTCCTGGGTACCATCCCCAGTACCTCCATTAAATAAATAAATAAATAAATAAATAAATAAATAAAAGCTAATCCCCCCCCCAATTTTTTTTTAAATTTAAAAAAAAGACACCATTTTAATCTTAACATACTGGTAAAAAAAAATGTAATGCAAGGTGAAATTCTTATATGCTGCTAATCTGCATGTAAATTAGAACAATTAACGATACAGCAGTTTTGCTTTTAGGATTATACTCAAATACACTCTAAAAAAAATAATCAAAATAAAATAAATAAATACACCCTTAAGCAACTCCCCACATAAGCACAAAGAGACTTACACAAGGATGCCCACTTCAGCAATGTTTGTAATAGAAAGCACAAACAATTCACTGTAAGTAAAGAAACTAATTAATAGCAGTTTATTCATATAATGGAAGACTATCCAGCACATAAAATAAACAAAGTAGAACTATATTTTCTCAAAATGGATTTATTTCAAACTATGTGAAAAAAGTAAAGTTGCATATAACACAAGTTATTTAAAGTTTAAGAACAAAACCTATACTATAAATTCCCTGCCGACTTATATGTGCAGTAAAAGTTTAAAAACAAACTAAATTTACATACATCTCTGGAGGTAGAAAAGTGAAAGGGATGGGAGTTGTGGGTCTTTGGCTATGTCTTTAATATTTTATTTAGAAATGAGACTAAGTAATTAAGGCTAAAAGTTAACATTTGTTAAATCAGAGCAGGGCAAATGGGTGAGCATTATGTTATTTTCTGAATGTTTTTATAAATGAAAATATCAGTTTTGTATAATAGATTTAATTTATACACAAGTTTTATAGAATGATGGGTAAAACTAGTATATATGAAGTTTTGTCCCCTCTGGAACTGGTTCCAGGGCTAAATTAATGATAAAAATCTGTATTCCCATGACTTCTGAAATCAAGACAAATGTGAAGCAGAAGTTTGAAAAAAAAAAGATAAATATTAACTACCCAACACATTACCTGCTTCTCCTGAAGATGTTTCCTCAGTAACTAAAGGTAAGCCAGATGCAAAGAAATCCATAATTGTAGCATAAATATCGGGTTTCAGTAAATTCCAGTCTAATTCTTCACTTTCCTGTAAACATTAAGATGTAAAACGCTACATTTCCAACCATGGGCAAAGACAAATACAAAACAACACTTTGAATCTTTTGAGAATCTTTTCCTATATATATTCTATACCATGCAACAGTACTCATTTCTGGAAAATACATGTCAACTACTGTTCTTAAAGGATCTAGCTTATAAATGACTTTCAAAGATACAATCTTAGAACATTTCCCATTCATTCATTCATCAAACTTGCGTTAATTAAGTGTGCTGTATGTACAGTGTGCTGTTGGTAGAGGGGATACCAAAATGACTAAAAGATATTTTTTTTATAAGGTGAAGAGAGTTAAAACACTGACTGGATTCTCTGTGTTTAAAGAGGATAATAAAGAAATTTCTCATTCTTTTAAATAAAATAGGATACAACTGCTTGATCAACTATACAGGATATCCTATGACTATTCCAAAAATTCAACTTAAATATATTACTTAAGAACACTGAAGAAACCCAAAGACCTAACTGTAGAATCAAAACATATAACGTGTCTTATCTATGGCTACAGTGCTGGAGGACTTGTGGACCATCAACAAGACTGGTGTTCTTGGGAAAGAATCCCTAATGATTTCGCTTCTATATCTGGCCAACCAGTTGATTCCATTTAAAAAAAAAAAGATAGGATTATTAAATACCCAAACAGTACTAACATCTAAAAAGAGAAAGGCAGCATGTTCTGTTTTAATTTTTTAAAGGAGAGCTCTTTAGGAGGAAAAACTATTAGATGCAGTCTATTCAGACTCTCAGGAGGCTGTTAGCTAGGGTCCATGCTATTAAAAACTGAGTCTTCGTGCACAAACGGGACTATATTGGTCATGGATTAAGAAGGAATTTAGGATAAACGGGCCCCATTATAAATACAAAAACAAAACTAGGGAGCTGCCTTAGTGATTGGTAATGGGAACTACTTCTAGGTAACATTTTAATAAATTATTTGGAAGATGGATCAGAGGGCTGCCTTAGAGCTTCAGTAAATACGGGGCTCTACTGAACAGGGAAATGTTTGTATTAAAAAGAAGAAAAAATATTCTGAAATTGTCTGAATAAGAAAACAGGCAGCATATAAGCTGCAAATATACACACATACAGGGAAAAAACATAAATGATGCATAAAGAAGCCTCTGGGGTAGACCTAGAGATTATCATACTAAGAGAAAAAGAGAAAGATAAATACCATATGATAGCACTTCCATGTGGAATCTCAAAAAATGGCACAAATGAATTTATTTACAAAACAGAAACAGACTCACATGAGACACAGAAAATAAACTAATGGTTACGGGGGTGTGGCGGGTGTGGGGAATGGGGTAGGAAGGGATAAACTGGGAGTTTGGGATTTGCAGATATGAATCACTATATCCAAAATAGATAAACAACAAAGTCCTACTGTATTTTGTAGTAACCTATAATGAAAAAAATATGAAAAATATACATATATGTGTGCGTATAACTGAATTACCATGCTGTACACCAGAGACTAACACAACATTGTAAATCGACTATATGTCAATTAAAAAATTAAAAAAGAGGTCTCTGAATTATCAATTACAAGTCAGAAAGGGAAATGGGCAATCAGTGAAGATAAGAGGTAAATGGGGTAGTCCATGATGAGGAAGATAACTGAAAGAAAACCAATCAATTTACTAGTCTATCTATTAAGTATCAATGTGTGCTCTAACTTAGGATATTATATATTGATTATATCATTTCACTAAGAAAAAATAATGGAGCTGGAAAATTGCAAAAAAGGTAACTAAACTATGAAGGGAAAGGGAAATAAAAGATGACCTACCAAGATCAAATTAAGGAACAAAAAGAAAAAAAAAACTTGTAAGCTATAATCACACGTTTTCATATAAGAAAAAACTTATATAGCACAAGCTATATGTAAAAAACAAATAAATTCTTAAAATACATAATTTCCTATTTGTAAAATGAAGACAAGAATAACTAGTTATGAGAATTAAATGAGATACTGTATGTAAAGCACTAGCACCACATCAAACACCTTGGAGATCCTAATAAATTCATATCCTTTTTGCGCCTTCAAAATATATTGAGGAAAGAAAACTGAAGAATAACAAAGGTAGGTCCAATGTCTATAAACTGGCAAACTAGGGATTAGTGAACACAGATTTGGTCCCACTATCCTACAAGTCTACAGGTGGTTAGAAGAAACCACTTGAAGCCTGAAAATTTCAATTTAGGGAAACTTGTATCATTGCTTCCTTCTACAAAAACTTCTTTGAATGCACACTATGTGCTAAGCATTGTTCTAGGTGAACTTAATAAGATGGACAATCTTTATCTTCAGGGAGTTTACATTCTAGTGTAGAAAAAACAGGTAATAAAAATACACAAAAAATATGATTCTAAGTGATAAGTGTAATGAGGAAAATAAACAGGGTAATAACCTCCTGGAGGGAGTGCTGCTTTCAGCAATACAGACAAGAAAGGGGTTTCTGAGACTTTCGAACAAGTAACACTTTAAAGAACAGGGAAAAACATTTTACAATGGGGATATTTGTGAGAACAACCATAGCCACTGGGATTGCCAGCAAGGAGGAAAATCCTAATTCTCCTCCACACATAAACAGCTACAAGAGAATACATGTTGATCACCCAGTATGTCAACTTTTATGGTGCATCAAGAACTCAGAGTAATCCTTTCAAATTGCTGAAGAAGAGCTGAATGAATAACTTTTGACTTTAATGCAAAACTGGACAGATGATTAAGTTTAGCGCATACATAACAATTAACAGATTTATAAGGATACACAGTTCACATTTAAAAAGCTCACTCCTCATTAATCTAGTAGACTTAAAAATGAAACAGCCTTTTCTAGCAAATATGACCTCAGATGTTGGATGCGTAGCATATTTAGCTTGATCTTTTGACATTCAGAGGTTATCCAAGTGTTGCAGAAGTACACAATCTACTGCTCTTGTCTGTGAGGATCTGAAGTGTCAATGCAGGACGGCAGGGTGGGAGATGTGCCAGACACCATGATACAAAGGCTCCCTTTGAAAGGAGACATATATGCAACCATTCTGTTGGTCAAAATATATATATATATGATTTTTTTTGCTTCTTTTTTTTTATTCTACCAATTTAAATCAAGAATTAGTAAAAATAACACTTGGAAGCCTAAATTAAGGTTGAGTCCTGGCCCTGCTGGAGGCTGGCTACACAACCTCAGACACCGCATTTAACCCTCTGAAGCTCCAAGCTTTTCCTTTTTGTAAAAAGAGGGATCTGGACTGTAGTTAATTTCAACTTGAAAATTCTATTAAGTAATTAACTTGAGAAATGTGAGAAGTAAACTTAATTTGAGATTTTTCATAACAGTATGTGTAAAATACGTTAAGAATGGATCTTCTGGAGATGGGCACTGGACTCGGAAAAAACTAAAAGTACTTGACATCTTATTTTATACAATCCTATGCATACCTTTGTGACAGTGATGAAATCTGGTCCAAAGAAGACACTTTTTACTCCCTCAATCCTAAACAACTGTCTGTGGAAAAATAAAAAAATAAGAGATGATAAAACATTTTATTATGGAAAAGTCTACATGTAAACAAAAGTAAAGAGAAACGTAAAAGAACCTCCACATACCCATCACCAGCCTCGACAATTACCAACTCATGGCCAACCTTCACCCCACGATCCAGCAAGCCCACTCCTAGGTATTTACCCACGAGGAATGAAAACATAAGCTCTGTAAAGACTTGCACATGAATCTTTATAGGAGCTTTACCTATAACACCAAAAAAACCCCAATCTGAAAATGTCTACCAACTGGGGAATGACTAAACAGACTGAATATACCAGTACAATGTAGTGCTACTTGGCAATAAAGAGCAATGAACTACTGATTCACTCAACAACAAGGATGACTCTCAAAAGCATTACGCTAAATGAAAAAAGCCAAACACAAAAGACTATCCGGTTCCGTTTATGCGACACTCTAGAAAAGGCAAAACTGTAGCAGCATAGAGAAGACCAATAGTTACCACGTTGACCCATGTGTTAACTAACCTCATTATGGTAATCATTTCACTGTATATGTGCAAATCAAATCATCACGTTGTACACCTTAAACTTACACAGTCTTTTACGTCAATTGTATCTCACAGAAGCTGGAAAAAAAATTTGCTAATAAAAACTTAAAAATTAAAAGTCACTGCCATAAAAAAAAGTTACCAGGGTGTGAAGGTGAAAGCAAGAGGAGACTGAATGCAAAGGGAAATGATGGATTTTTTGCAGTGATAAAAATGCTCTATATTTTTATTTTCTTGGTGGTTATACAATAGTATATATTTAACAAAACTTATTGAATGGTACACTAAAATTGGTGAATTTTATTGCATGTAAATTATACTTCAGTAAAGTTAATTTTTTAGGACCCTGTGAGAGGAGAAGGGGCAGATTATAATTTGAAAAGGCCTGACAAGGGATTTTGAAATACACCTTTCTTTTTCCCAGATTTAGGAACGTACTCCAAAGAAGGTTACAATTTTCCCTTTCTTTGTCTACCACTGCAAGAATGCTTTCTAAATTACTGCTTTGAAATTATTTGGGAGTTTGTTTGAAACAATGTCATCTAGGTCCTTTACACAACTATTTAATGTTAAATTTACAAGTCGTTACAAGGTTCCTGGTTGCAGTTTATGATTCAGTAAATCCAAGCACAGACCTTTAAGTGGCACCCTTGAGTAGCACTATTAGCAAAGATTTTTTTTTTTTTCCAAATGAAAGGACCATGCAAAGGAATCCACCTGACCTATAGATCATGTCATGGGGACTGCTTTAAGAAAGAGTTCACAGGTCCTGTCCCTAAAAGAAAGAAAAAGCTAAAACAGGAGTTCAAATATTATTATACATGCTCTGTCATTTAGGTTACTTCCCTTGGGACAATTTCAACTTGTCAATGTCCAAGACAAAATATGATACCCAGAACTGAACACAATATCCCAAATGTAGTCTAAGGTGTCCAAAGCACAATGACTATTACCTCTCCTAAGCTGGACACTATGACTGTTAAAGTCTGACTGACTTTTTTTTTTAACATTTTTTATTGATTTATAATCATTTTACAATGTTGTGTCAAATTCCAGCATAGAGCACAATTTTTCAGTTATACATGAACATATATATATATTCATTGTTACATTTTTTTCTCTGTGAGCTACCATAAGATCTTGTGTATATTTCCCTGTGCTCTACAGTATAATCTTGTTTATCTGTTCTACAATTTTGAAATCCCGTCTATCCCTTCCCACCCTCCATCCCCTTGGCAACCACAAGTTTGTATTCTATGTCTATGAGTCTATTTCTGTTTTGTATTTATGCTTTGGTTTTTGTTTTTGTTTTTAGATTCCACATATGAGCGATCTCATATGGTATTTTTCTTTCTCTTTCTGGCTTACTTTACTTAGAATGACACTCTCCAGGAGCATCCATGTTCCTGCAAATGGCGTTATGTTGTCGGGTTTTATGGCTGAGTAGTATTCCATTGTATAAATATACCACATCTTCTTTATCCAGTCATCCGTTGATGGACATTTAGGCTGTTTCTGACTGACTTTTTTGAGCACTGCATCATATCCAACATGACTAACTGAAAGATCAGATTCTTCTGTCCCATAGTTGCACTATTTCTTTCAAAAAATTTAAATATAAAGTTTAATATTTATTCCTGCTAGATTTTATCCTATTTGCTTTAATCTATCTTTCTAGCCTAATGAAACTTTTAAAAAGTTGTCTCTGAATTTAGCCATCCAACAGATAAACAAATCCTCTTATCTGAAAAATTGACAATTACATCTTTATTAATGTTGCTGATTAAAAAAAAAAGTACTGAATAAACATGCCAACTACAGAGATACAGAGCCCTTTTACATGTCCCTTAGAGACAGGTCTACCTTCTGCTTACATTTCTTTGTCTTGTCCATGCAGATAGGAAGAAACAAGTCAAATGCCTCCCTGAAGTAAGATACATTACTGTTTGTTCATTCGTTCAACAAATATTTGGCGGGGAGGGTATAGCTCAAGTGGTAGAGCGGCATGCTTAGCATGCACAAGGTCCTGGGTTCAATCTCGTACTTCCTCTAAAAACTAAATAAATAGGTAAACCTAATTACTCCCCCACCAAAAAAACAAAAAACAAACAAACAAAAAACCCCAAATAAAATGCTATTAAAACAAAAACAAAAACGAAACTAAAAATAAATATTTGAATCCTTGCTGAGGACCAAACACTGCACCAAGCCCGTGGGATACAATGCTGGGCAGGACAGACTGGTTTCTGTCCTCATGAAGCTTTCTACCTTATAGTAAAAAACATTTTCTGCTCAGACAACAAAAACAAGATTAGTTTTGCTTGATGGAAGATCATGAATTCTGAGAATCCAAGAAATGGGTTACTTTCAAAGACCAATTTGGAAAGAGTTTCTTGCCAACTGAACATCTGACAGCAATAATCTCCTACTAAACTGTAACTGAATTAATTAGGGCTTTTATTTGCACACTTTGAAAAATATGTGAGCTCATACTTGATATAAACATTTCAAACTGTATATACAAAGTGAAAAATGCCTCTTAACCACCCCTCCCAAATCCACTGTTATCAGTTTGGTGTGCATTCTTCCAGACCTTTTTGTCAGTGCATTTTTGTCATTTTGTGTCATGTATGTGTGCACATACATAACAATCAGATTGTATTCACTGCTCTGCAACTTGCTTTCTTCACTACCAGTGTCTCAGAGGAAATTCTGTAACAGTAAATATGGGCCCTCCTCATCCTTTTTAATACCTGTAGACTATGGACAAAGTCTAACTCTTCCTACTGATGAATATTCAGGTTCTTTCTAACTTAATACCATTACCAACTAAGGCTACGATAAACATCTTTGCACATGTCTATATATGTTGGTAATCCCTAAGGTAGGGTTTTTCAAATCCACCAATAAGTTGTGAAATCAATTACATAGTGACCAGGATTTTATCTAGTAAAATAAAATAGAACAGAATAGAATAAAATAAAAAGAACAAGAAAGGAAATGTAAGAATGCCTTACACACTGTAAGGGAGAAAACTGTTCCATCAAACACTTCTGTTTCATACATACATATATATACATATGTGTGCATATATGTATATATACACACACGTATATGTGTGTGTGTGTGTGTATGTGTACTGGGTCATAATATAAAATATTTCTTATTGTGGCTTGTATTAAAAAGTGTGAAAAACAAGTGTTCTAAGGTATATTTTGAGAAGTGGCACGTTTAGGTAAAAAAAGTGCATATTTATTAATTAGAAATTTTAAAAACCATTCCTGAGATAAGCATATTTCTGGCTCTCCTAAATGAGACACATAAAATGGCTATGTATATATAGAAACAGTTATCTAAGTTTTATTTTCCCTATATCCTTGGCAATCAGGCTTACCAAAAATTTCAGTTGATGTGTCTGGCTGTAATATTTCTTATTATAGACAATTTGTCTAGCTGTCAGTTAAAAAGAGATTTCATAATTGTATCATTTGTGCTTTATCATCTGAAATGCAGTTAACATGTCTTTAGTGAATTTTAGAACTGTTGCCACTGAATGTAAACTGGTGCAGCCACTATGAAAAACAGTATGGAGGTTCCTTAAAAAACTAAAAGTAGAGCTACCATATGATCCAGCAATCCCACTCCTGGGCATTAAGCTGGAAAAACAAAAACATTCATTTGAAAAGATACATGTACCCCAAAGTTCACAGCAGTATTATTTATAACAGCCAAGATATGGAAACAACCCAGGTGCCTGTCAACAGACAACTGGCTCAAGAAAATGTGATATAGATATATACAGATATCGATATAT